AGAACTTTGCTTTGGAAGGAATTATCTGAGAGAATCAACCTAACCAGAACATATCTCTTTTTACTTCCTAAAATTGTGCTCACAGGTAAACAACATTAAACTATGGAAAACTTTCACAGACTGTTTTAACTGTTTACCGATAGCAGCCATCGTGGATGAGAAAATATTCTGCTGTCATGGAGGTATGTGGGTTGATTTTTGTTCCAAATAGCTTTTGGTTCCTTCTAAAAATTGAACACTGTGAAATTTATGAGTTGTCATTGGATGATGACTTCTGTCAGTAACTCCTTTGTTGATGCATTACATCTCTGTTCACTCTGACACAGCCAGGATCATTTGGACAGAAGTCTGATGTAAGCATTTGACTTGTTACAGGGAACTCTGGACTCTGCGACACTGTGATTTGAAAATAGAACAAGAAAGTATTTTTAACTATAAAATGAATAGCAGTTAATTTGCTGTGCCATAGATCCTCTAGAACAATGACGATGTGAACGGATTTTTCCTTGATCTGTTTTTGATCTTCTCAGAACCTTTTCTGACTTGGATTTTAAGTTATTTTGCTTTACTCAGAGATTGTGCTTTGTATAATGTAATTAAAATAGTAATTGCAAAGAGGATTTCTTTTCATGTGTGGTCAGCAGTTAGGCAACCATCGAAGAGCCTATCTCTGCCCTCCTATACTTACAGAGGTTTTGGTAGAGTTTTCAACTCAGATGACAATAACTAGACTACATCTGAGCTGGTCTGACAGACTTGATGGTCTGTGGACAGCACAGATTTCCTAGAGAGCCACCTCACATCTGAGCATCTGCATCTTCTATGCCTTGTCATTACAAATGTTCAATAATGACATCGGGTATGTATGTTGCTTATTAGTCCTGTCAGCTGGGGAGACATGCAGAGGAATAGTTTTTAAAATCACTGGATTTTAATATATAGGATTCTGTATTGTGTTTTGTTTTGTTTTAACCAAAACCAAGTAAATAAAACGTAGCCAAAGATTTAATTTAAGCTTTCATGTCAGTCATTGAGTCTCTGTAGACAAGTAAAACTGATAAAGATAACATCCTTTTAAAAGTTCTTTCTTCAATTTTTTTAAAACCTTTAATAGGTTTATCACCAGATCTTCAATCTATGGAGCAGATTCGGCGAATTATGCGACCAACTGATGTACCAGATCAAGGTCTTCTTTGTGATCTTTTGTGGTCTGACCCCGATAAAGATGTCTTAGGCTGGGGTGAAAATGACAGAGGAGTGTCCTTCACATTTGGTGCAGAAGTGGTTGCAAAATTTCTCCATAAGCATGATTTGGATCTTATTTGTAGAGCCCATCAGGTATTGATTTTGAATTTTACATGTACACTTAAGAGCATGTGTGTGAGCACAGATTCTCCTTGTTGATTTTGGTGGGTAGGTATTGCTTATTTATACAAAGTGTCTTTGGAAACAACCTACAGGATAGCAGGCTCAGCAGGAAATTGAAGAGTGGTTTTACTCACCTAAAGTTTGCACCTACTTATCCTGAAAAACTTTTCTCTTCAAGGTGGTTGAAGATGGATATGAATTTTTTGCAAAGAGACAGTTGGTCACTCTGTTTTCTGCACCCAATTATTGTGGAGAGTTTGACAATGCAGGTAGAGCGTGTCATGCTGCCATGCTCTGCCCATTTCTGTGGAAAAATTTGTCTTTCCATGAAACTGGTCCCTGGGACAAAAAGTTGCGAGGCGCAGACACGGCACCCAAGGCAGGTGGCAGTTAAGTAGTATTTTCCATCCAATGGTGATCTTAATCTTAGGCAACAGCATTACAGTGGACATTAGGGTTTCGCATTTATAGTAACATGAACCACGTAGCGCATGGAAGGCCAATATAGCTGTACTGTTGTTTGTCTCACGCCTAGCTTAAGTAAGCAAAAAGTAGTTAAGCATACTGCTGGAAAGGACAGGTCTTACGATATTGGTTATTGCTTAGAGGGTCCACATTTTGCCTTATTTCACGTAGGACAGACATGGTTTATGGGAACTAAAAATTTAGGCCTACTCAACAGGGAAACAGTAAATACAAAGTGGCAAGTTTTTTCTTTTTTTGAGCAGTGCATCACGTCTGTTGCCCTGGCTTAGAGTGCCGCGATCAGCCTAGCTCACAGCAGCCTCACCTCCCTGTGTTTTTTTTTTTTCTCCCTTCTTTCTTATTGTTCGCTCTCCCTTTTTTCTGCTTTTTGGTCAAGGACTCTCTTGCCTCCAACCTCCCGAGTAGCAGGGACACAGGGGCCAACCACCATGCCCAAGGTTAATATTTTTATCTTTTTGAGGGTAGAGACAGGGTCTCACTCTTGCCCAGGCTTGGTCTTCAAACTCCTTGAGCTGCAAGCTAGCTTCCCAGAGGTGCTGAGTATTACTGCGTGACAGCGCCACCGGTGAGCTGGCCTGCAATTTCTTTTTTCAAGTCGCAAATCCAAAGTATATAAAATGAAATAATGTTGCAAGGCATGCCCTACCTGACAAGAACCATAGTGTTTCGTCCACAGCATCATGG